AGTCTGCAGATCATTTACATAACGGATATCAATAAATCATAATATTTCGTTCAAAATCGGTGAGTACTCATTCATTTGGTTCCTTTTGTAATATCTACCTCTGTAGGCAATAGTATCAAATCTCCCTAGAGTTGATATACTATATACCACGACGCTCACGAATCTATGAGGTTAAGTGTTTTTGTTGACACAAATAATAGATCACACACTCTGCATAATGATAATACAAGATATATTTTCACACGTTACGACAGATCAAATATAAATCAAATAAAATATATCTTAATGTATAAATACGGCAATCCCGTTTAACAAGACTTTTATTCTAAATTCCCTAACGGACCGGTCTCAAAGAAATATAATATATCATACATATGAATATAGATATCAAGAATAATTCACAATAAATATTAGCATAATAAAATAACAACTAGACAATGTGACGATTTTAGCCCCCATGGCTTTACAATAATAATAATAATATAACGATACCCGACCGCATATGCATCTGCCGGGAACGCTGCTGTCATAGACCGATATGGCACAAGTTACGCAATCACGGTGACAGTATTATATTATTATCACGCAACGTACGAATATACGCCCGCACACCACTATAATTATATTGTAATCCGTGTCACTCACCGCCGTGGTAACAATACCGTAAAATCGTTAACCCTTAACGCGGCACAATAATAGTAAAAAGACAGATTTACACTTGTCGCGACACTAGAACGATTAACGTAAAGTTTACGATAATAAGGCCGGCGATCATCGATACCTGTCACGCACGACCGCACCAGGTGTGTTACGTATAAACGCAACGGCCGAACTGGTTGGCGGCTATAATATTTAATAATTATAATAATTATTATGATATCACCACAGCTGCGACGTACGCGGCGGCGGTGGTGGTGGATTGTAGTATCCCTCGCACGGTCGTCGTTATCATCGTGCTGGCTTATACACATATCGGCACATATTGGTCCGAACATTCTCCCACCATTGAAGGCCTGTACTTCAATCATTTGATGCTGGATGGTAGAAGTTGTTGGAAGACGGCCCGAAGATTACAGCTAATATTAAAATAAATTTTTTGGCAATTTGAAAAAATAACAAATTGGAATTACAGACAAAAAAAAAAAAATATACAATAAATAAATAACAAGAATAGTAAACGTGCATATCACAGGAATGGGTTGTTTACACAATTTCATTTGGTTTTTGTATGTAAGGAGATCATACTTCGGTTGGAAGTTTAACCAATTGAACGGCCGGACGTTTGGTAGTTCCTTTGGCAGTTTTCAGGGTGACCACACGGACGATACCGTCTTTGCCTGGGTGTATCTCAATAACACGGCCAGTTGGCCATACAGTCGGTGGCGTATGTGGCGTTTTGACAATCACGACATCTCCAACCGCCAAACTAGTTCCAGTCGAAGCCCACTTAGATCGGACTTGTAGGGTAGACAGATACTCGTGTGACCATCGATGCCAAAACTGCTGGTTACATTGGCGCAAAAGTTGCCATCGAGTGAGAACATTTTGTTTGGTGAGAGTGAGATCTATATCTGGTAATGCCACGAGTGGTTGACCGATTAAAAAATGTCCAGGGGTGAGACAATCAATTTCACTCGGGTCTGAGGACAACGGTGTCAATGGACGAGAATTTAAGATACCTTCAACTCTAGTCAACAAGGTTGTTAGTTCCTCAAATGTGAGTACTTGAGTACCGATCGCTCGTTTCAAGTGGAATTTGGCTGACTTAATCCCGGCTTCCCATAGTCCTCCGAAATGAGGCGCTGCGGGTGGATTAAAATGCCAATTGCACGTGGTGTCATTGATTACGATGGACTGTTCTTTTTCTAGTCCTAATAATGTTTGTAAGTGCCTTTCTGCTCCTACGAAGTTAGTACCGCAGTCGGTATAAACATCGGTAGGCGATCCTCTCCGAGCAATGAAGCGATCAAAGGCCGCTAAAAATGCTTCGGTCGATAATTCTGTTACAGTCTCAATATGGACAGCCTTCGTAGCAAAACATACGAATAACGCCATGTACGCCTTGTATTCTCTTGCCTTTCGTCGGCGGCTTTCCCGGACTATAAACGGGCCTCCATAATCTATGCCGACGTGGCAAAATGGGCGACTTGGTGTAATCCTTGAAGTGGGGAGATCCGCCATGATAGGTTGTGGATGAACGGCAGCCCATTTGGTGCATGTGATACATCGGTGAATAACTTTACGAATTTCGTTTCGAGCCGAAGTAATCCAGAATACTCGAGAAACTACGGATCCCAGCGCACGTGGTCCTGCGTGTAAATAACAGCGATGATAGTGTTGTAAGATCAGACACGCTATATGTGACCCTTTGGGCACCAACATGGGAAATTTGGCATGTTCACTCAAATTTGAATTTCGTAGTCGACCTCCCACCCGAATGATACCACACTCATCAAGGTACGGCTTCAATTTTCGGAAGGAATTAGGAATGTTACTCGGGGGGCTATCATGTAACCTTTTCACCCATGTCCCAAAGTATTGGCGTTGGGTCATGTATACTAGCGTGTCTCGGGCTTTCTGCAACTCTGACCTATGAATAGGTCCGTTGCCTGTCTTGGATTTCTTCGTTTTAGCAATAAAACGCCATACTAATGCAAACACCCGTTGCGCAAACGATAGGGACGAGTATCGGGAGATAATTCCCGCGAAGTCGCCTGTTGTATTGACTAGTGAGACCAGGGGACCGTGTGACTTTAAATCAGGCAATTCATCTGGAGGTATGGGGATAAACTGACTATCTGTTGGTTCCAGATCCGTTAACAGATTAGGCCCGTTCCAATAAAGCGTATACTGCGCTAATTGGGACGCTAATATCCCCCTAGAAACACAGTCCGCTGGATTGTCTTCGGATGGTACATGATTCCATTGACAATCGGGAAGTAATTGCCGGATTTTAGCGATTCGATTGGTCACAAATATTTTATAATTAATTTGAGGTGATACCAACCAAGATAAGACGATCGATGAGTCGGTCCAGGAATACATCTTGTCAATATTTACCTGGGGTTCCAACGCGGTTTTCAAGCGATCCATCCACTTGGCCAATAACAGTGCACCGCATAACTCTAAGCGGGGCGTAGTCATGATCTTGACCGGGGCTACCTTCGACTTTGCTCCTAAGAGATATATATTAATGGTACTACGGGTATATACTCGTATGTAGACCACCGCCGCATAGCCTTTATTCGATGCGTCACAGAATCCGCACAAATGTATTTCGGTAGCCGAGACAATGTCAATATGTCTAGGCAACGTGGATTGGGACACGGCAGGGAGATCTTCCAAGTACGCCCGCCACTGGTTTAGTAGATCAGGTGGTAATTCACTATCCCAATGAAGTCCTAACTTCCATAATCGCTGCAAAAAGTCTTTGGCCCAAAAGGTGACTGGTGCCAGCATACCAATCGGGTCATATAACCTGGCAATTACGGACAAAACTCCTCGTTTGGTATATACGCCTAGTTCTGGTGACACATGATATCCAATCACGTCATGAACGGGATCCCAATGTGATCCAAGGACTCGTACATATGCGTCTTCAGAATTTTCAAACGGTATGGTAGTTTCCGAGCGTGAGGATGGATCTATCCGGGCTAATACTTCATCACAATTGCTAGTCCACTTCTTCAGCTCGAACCCATGTTTGGCCAGCACGGCCATTAAATCTCTTTGTAAATCTAACACACCATCGAGAACATCATCACCCGCACAAACATCATCTACATAAGTATTATGGAACAACGCTTCATGTACCTTTGGATGTTTGGCACGACACGACTCGGCCACCCGATGTAACACTTTGATGGCTAAGTATGGAGCAGGTCCGGTCCCATAAGTTACGGTGTTGAGTTCATACTCAATCAGTTCCTCAGCAGGGGACGGTCGCCACAGAATATGCTGAAACGACCGGTGTTCTGGTCGAATGAGTATTTGCCGATACATCTTGCAAATATCGGCCACGAAAACAAATCTCGGAAAACGAAACCTTAACAGAATATCCGTGATGTCATTCTGGAGTTTCGGACCCGTCAAAAGTACATCATTCAATGAGTGTCCACCTGAGGATCGGGAAGACGCGTCGAATACTACACGGATCTTCAATTTCCCATTTTCATCCTTGGTGATGGCATGATGTGGAATGATGTAATCGCCTGGAGTGTTAGCTACTTGCATATGCCCTAACCTGATATACTCAGCCATAAAATCACGGTACGCCTCATACAAGGTAGGATTTAAAATTAATCTTCGTTCTAAATTTAAGAATCGCTTTTGGGCTATGTTCCTTGTCCCTTTTAACATTTCTTGCGGATTAGCGTCTCGAAACGGCAACGGAACTATATACCTACCGGATCGATCTATCATAGTGTGTTCGAAGAATAACTTTTCACAAAATCCGTCTTCAGTAGTTTCACTTGGTGCGTTCGTTGGTTCATCAACTTCCCAGAATTTCCGAACCATATCCTCTAATGACGTTGCCAAAGAAACAACAACAGCTTGATGATAGGAAGTTGCGGCAGGATATACCGGACCAATGAGTATCCATCCAAATATAGAACTATACGCCGTGGGATTACCTTCTTCAGAATACTGCTTTCCATCGAACACATGATGATACAAATCCGCGCCTAACAACAAATCGATTGTCGCTGGAATGTCAAACTTGGGGTCGGCCAGCGCTAAATGAGCATATGAACTCTTGATGGATGCTGGAAGTGGTGACGTCGGTAAATTTACAGTTATGGTTGGTAACACCCATGTGTTGACCTCGATTTCGGTATTACTGTCGAACCTAGGTGTAATGGTACACGAAGTTAAACCTTTCACTGTGGGTAGCGTAACACCGGCTAATCCTGACACTGGGACCGTCCATTTTTTAATAGTTAATCCGAGGTGGTGGGCGCACGATTCGGTTATAGCACTAATTTGCGACCCTGAGTCAACTAAAATTCGTACAACCACGGTTTGACCGAACCGATCACGGGTGTGATCACGGCTGTTCCCAAAACTACCGTGGATGGACCCATTTTTCCAACATGAGATACGGCACCGATCGATACAGAGCTAGATGATGCCCCACGATTCATACCACCTGGTGCCGAGCCCGAACTCCCACCATTGTCTGATGGTGGTCTGACCCTAGATTTTTGGAGATGTAATAAACTGTGATGTGACCCCTTACATGTAGCACAAAAAACGTCACTGGTACAAGCTGATGATACATGAGTAGCACTCAAACATCGGAAACACCGACGGAAACTAGTTATCATCTTAAACCGCTTCGGGGGTTGCATAGATAGAAACTCTGAGCATACTTGTACATCATGAGGTGCTTTACAAATCGGACATTTGGGGTTTGCATCGCCCTGTGCTGATACCATCATCAACTTACCAGTGGGCTTGTCATTGAACCTACCGTTTGATTTGTCTTTAGGCATGTGCTTACCTGCAGCACCATCAATATTTTCCAAGATTTTTATACGACATCGAACGAACTTTACCAAATCTTCAATACCAGGAAAAGTGTTGGAGTTATCCTTTTCAAATAATTCCCGAGTACCACGTGGAAGGTTTTTATTTGCTAATACAAACATAATAAAACTAGACACATCTTCGATGTCGAACATTTTCAACGATTGCAAACTTTCGTCAAAAACATGGAGGAACGCTGATAACCCTGGAACGGTTTCAAATTCCATTCGGCGAAAGCTTAGAAGTCCGTCTACTAATGTCGAGGCAGATAGACGAGGATTATCGAACTGATCAATCAACTTTCGCCACACAATTGGATAATTCATATCTGTCATTTTCAACGAGTTAACCACTGTGGCAGCCCTGTCAGTAACACAACCTGCTAATAAGTGGAACTTTTCGATTGGGGATAAGTCGGGATCTGAATCGACTAACGCAACGAACTTGTCACGGAAGGTTGGCCACTGTAGAATATCCCCACTAAATGACGGTAACTTTATTTTTGGTAAATGGAGGTTGGTACGAACATTTTGTACAGGTTGAGGTTCAACGGTCATTTCTTGTGCCGTGGCATGAATGAAATAATATTGATTTTTAACCTCCCGAATCAATGGAGCGTGTGTATGTACATATTCGCTGTCCCGACCCGCGTCCAACAACGCGTCCATAATTGTGTCTTGTTCTACCGTAATATCTGCCATAAATTGTTCAATGTCAGCCTTGCGAGCAAAAAATAACGCTTTACACGATATATCACCCTTTGCCTTTACCGCTAGCTTATGTAAATCATTCATATCTTGGATAGCACCATCCCGACGCATGATACACCGTTTTAGTAACCGCTCCGACCGTTCACTATCACTAAGGGGGTCGGGAGCCATGATATATTATAAGCAATAGAAAACAAAATTAACCTATAGAGTATGAACAAAAAAAATACAATAAAAAACCACGCTCTGCTACCAAAAATGTAGGCAATAGTATCAAATCTCCCTAGAGTTGATATACTATATACCACGACGCTCACGAATCTATGAGGTTAAGTGTTTTTGTTGACACAAATAATAGATCACACACTCTGCATAATGATAATACAAGATATATTTTCACACGTTACGACAGATCAAATATAAATCAAATAAAATATATCTTAATGTATAAATACGGCAATCCCGTTTAACAAGACTTTTATTCTAAATTCCCTAACGGACCGGTCTCAAAGAAATATAATATATCATACATATGAATATAGATATCAAGAATAATTCACAATAAATATTAGCATAATAAAATAACAACTAGACAATGTGACGATTTTAGCCCCCATGGCTTTACAATAATAATAATAATATAACGATACCCGACCGCATATGCATCTGCCGGGAACGCTGCTGCCGCCGCCGCCGATCATAGACCGATATGGCACAAGTTACGCAATCACGGTGACAGTATTATATTATTATCACGCAACGTACGAATATACGCCCGCACACCACTATAATTATATTGTAATCCGTGTCACTCACCGCCGTGGTAACAATACCGTAAAATCGTTAACCCTTAACGCGGCACAATAATAGTAAAAAGACAGATTTACACTTGTCGCGACACTAGAACGATTAACGTAAAGTTTACGATAATAAGGCCGGCGATCATCGATACCTGTCACGCACGACCGCACCAGGTGTGTTACGTATAAACGCAACGGCCGAACTGGTTGGCGGCTATAATATTTAATAATTATAATAATTATTATGATATCACCACAGCTGCGACGTACGCGGCGGCGGTGGTGGTGGATTGTAGTATCCCTCGCACGGTCGTCGTTATCATCGTGCTGGCTTATACACATATCGGCACATATTGGTCCGAACAGAATACCTATAATAACATAATATTGGCTATTTGGCTGGTGTTTTGTGATACTATAAGTGTTACACATAATATTATACCTATTATGTTTAAAATATTATATAGTATGGAGAGTGGAGACTGGAGACCCTTTACAATGAATATGTAACAATACCAACACGCAATAGGCTTACATACATATTATTATTATTATACTGCAGCTCACTCGATGGTTTTTAAATGCATTTATATTATGTAAGTACCATTATAATATAGTGAATGATAAAATATCGTTGGTACGCCTATCGCCATATGTTGGTAAAAGCATCATTATGATAATGTATTTATTGCACGAAGAAAATAATAATCTCATAAAACAATATTATATTTTATATTATTTAACGAACGTTACTTTTTTGATATCATTTAATAACCAAGTATACCAAGTATTGACTACAGATCTAAGCCAATATGGTTACCTGTTGTAAGTTGTAACCATGCTTTAGTTACCACGCCCTCGCATGACACTACGTACGACGTAGCTATGGATCCTGGTCTAGACTTGAAAGTTGAAGAATGTACTTACATATTAAAATTTTACAAAATGCCTAGATAGTTGTTATTTATGTGATAGAACTAGAAAACAACAATTAATGAACTGTGGTTTTTTATTGTTTTGAAACACGGTATAATAATAATTTTTTTTTTTAATGCTGAAACACGTATTTTGGAGGCATTTTTGGTAAGAATATTTATAGCAATTATCGATGCGGCTGGCCACCTCTGCAGAGGCTAAAATATAATTTTTTCGTACTACACATTTTATATTAAACTTTTAGTTACTGCGGGGGCTTTGCCAACCCACCAAAAAAATTGTATTGAATCTATACACATAAACATAGAGTAATCAATTTCTATTTTTCTTTATCTACAGAGTATAGACTAAACGCAAGTTAACGATTTATGTCCGTATATTGGTACGATAATTAATTCAGTATTATACATAGGTAAAATCAATAAATGCACAGAACTATAATAATAGTTAATACTATACAATACCTATTATAGACTGTGAATTGCGAAATAAAAATCCTCGATTCTAGGAAAAAAACATACCAGATTTCAATATTAGGTACTCACATTATCACATGAAATTGATTGATTAAATGTTTTTTAAAAGCTAATTAATGTAATTACCACATTGTTAATATTTAATCTATATATATAAGAATCTAACTTGATTTTGGAGACGAAGGAAACCAGTTTTGAACCCTCATAAAAATAATAATAATAATTAACTAATTACCAATTATTTTCATAAATTCACCGATAACGATGTCTGTTTCTTTTTTTTTTGTTTATTTTATAATCGTTGACCTATAATTATAGTGTACAAAGGTAATAAAAAAAAATAATAAATAATGTTTTTAATACGCATGCGCGCTTCCTTATTTATTCGGTCGATGAGATCGACATCTCTAACTCATATCGTTCAGTCGTTTGTTGTACTTATAGCATTACTAACAGATCTAATTTTTTTGAATTTTGTTTGAAACCAATATGTTTTTTTACTACACAGCGTAAGAGGTTAAGACCAAATGCTGAACCCACATTATTTGGTATGTGGTACATATACGATATACATTATTAAATAATATATCTGTTTATTATACTTCGCCTATGTTTCACTACTATTTATTATTGCAAATGCGTATACTTTAGGTGATATACCGTTCAAGTGGGTAAAATTCCGGTCTGCCTATTTATACCAACCTAAGCATCCATATTATGACGACGATGATGTTGTATCGGTGTAATGGATGTAATTTGTCAATATTGCAATGCAATGAAATCCAAAGGGGTAGTTTATTAGTGTATACATTTTTAGAATTTTGAAAACGTTTTATATAATTTTCTTAATTAAAGGAGAATCCGCTGGTATGTGTTGTTCAAATGGAACTGTTCGTATTCCTAATATCGATGAACCACCAGAACCAATGAAAACTCTTTTGGAAAGTTCAACAAGTATTTCAGAACACTTTTTAGAAAATATTAATAAATATAACAATGCATTTCATATGACCTCATTTGGAGCGGCAGAAACTATTGTCGAAAATTATATGCCTACATTTAAAATAAGAGGTCAAGTGTATCATTTAGCCGGGTCGTTGATGCCTTTACCAAATACAAATCATAAATATTTACAAGTTTATTTTATGGATGACGAAGAGGAACAAATTGATGCGCGAATGGGTATTTGCAGTGGATTGAATAAAGGTAATTGTATTGTATAATATATTTGTTGTTTAAAACGTTTTAATTTATATATTTATACATTTAGATATTATAAGAGATTTGCAATTATTGTTACATAATATCAATCCTTTAATTACGAAGTTCAAAACTGCATTGGATCATATGCCCACTGATCAATACCGATTAGTCATAAATGCAAATATGGTTCCTCAAGGTCAACATAGAGGTAGATTTAATGCACCATCTCAAGTCTCACCATCTCTTTTCTATAATAAAAAGAATAAAATTTACCACTCCAGTGGTTGAATTCTAAATGTAGGAAATATAATTTTCAGAAATTAGCAATAACAATAACTACAATATGTAATTATATTGTACTATTTGTATAGCCAAAAAATAGTCTTATGTTTCTAAATTAAATTATAAAAAAATAATTTCTTCCGGAGGAAGATCAGGCAGCTAGTTATAAATAAACACAAGGTTTAGGAATAGCTATCATTAAAAAAATGATTGTATAATAAGTAGTGTTCAAACATTAACAATTAAACAATAACATTATTTTGTTTTTGATTTGAAACAACATAGGTAAATACATTCAGTAACTATTGTTTGATAATTATTTGTAATTTGTATCGATTATTCGAAATATTTTTATTTTGTAATATTTTAAATATTGTATCTATAAGTAAAACTTGTAAAATCGACTCTTAATAATAAGTACATAATAAGTTTATTATTGAATCGAAAGACGTCGTGTAAAAATGATAATTTAATATTGAACGATGGAGGGACCACAGATATATACAATAACTAGATAGCTAACTGATTATATCTGACGCACTATGATTAAGAAGCCGAACGCCATATGCGTGGTAGTCAATGTTTTTGTTTGTTATCACTTTATCAATTCGAATTTATCATCATATTATTGTACAGATATTATATCAATAATTTATTGCATACATCTTTGTATTATGTACAGTCAATTATTGCTAATATAATTTTCATTTTTCATAAAAAAAATTGTTTTATGTGATTTTTAAGTACTTAATTAAATATGCCGCAGAACATTTCTTTTTGCTTCTAACTGATAACTTGAAAAACATAAATATACCAAATTTAGAAAATAAAATAATTGCACTTGTCAATAATAAATTTGTGCTTGATCGTAATATATTTAAGATATTTTGTGAAAATGTATTATATTGGTCGAGTACCCACTTATAGTTTTTACCTGGTTATACTTGTTTAATCTCTTTTCCGTGGTTCATACATTTATATAATATTATATATTATATAGTTATATATTTGTTATACTACTTATACTTATACGTACTTAACAATTTTATTTTATATTTAAATAAATTACTTATTAATTATTATTAGTAATAAGTAATAACAATTTAATTTAATATATTGTATTTCATAGTGATAAGAAATGATAACAATAATTAATGTAAACATTGACTACCACGCATATGGCGGTTGACTTCCGACTGTTACGATAGTTAGCTATCTAGTTATTGTATATAATATATATCTGTGGGAGGGACGGTCGCGCCGCGGTGGCAGACGGCGGCTGGTCGAGGGAGACTCATGCGCAGTGCGGTGTCGACTTGTCGAGGAGAGACGTACCAACTACCAGAGACGCGACGTGGTGACGTGGTGACGGCGCGACTATACGGACGCTGGTCGGTGTCGCCAACCGAAGAATAGGGGCCGTAGAGAGGGAGGATGGCTCACCACAATATTGTTGTTGTTGTTGTTGTACAACACGTACCGCTCGGCGACGAGAGAACGAAGCGGTGACCGGTCGTGATAGAATGCGTTCGTCGCCCGCGGTTTACGGGATCGGCGTTCGCGGTGGGGCGGTGTGCTCCGAAAACGCTAACATATTATTATTATTACGATGGGACACTAGGACTAGGTATATTATAATCGTAAATACTAAATGGAATTACTATCTTAATTTTTCACTCGCCGTAATATCGATAAATGTGATCGTTCAAAATGTTTAAAAATACCGGAGTTCACCTATTAGTTTGTCGGATTTCCCAAACGAGTCGTCATTCTGTTAAATGTGTATGTGTGTCGTGTGTGTGTGTGTGTGTGTGCGCGTGTGTGTGTGTGTGTGTGTGTGTCTGTGTGTGTGTGTGTGTCTGTGTGTGTGTGTGTGTGTCTGTGTGTGTGTGTCTGTGTGTCTGTGTGTGTGTGTGTGTGTGTCTGTGAGACAGAGACATGATAAGTGTTGGTGGACGTGCGTCGAAGTTAGAGGCAGAAAATTTGTCCTGAAAATTCGTGAAGTCCCGGGAAATTATACCGCGCTGTATAAATTCGTCGGTTGAGCATTATTGGGTATCCATTACAATAATATTTCACTCTCACTATGCGAGCGCATAATAATATGTACATAAATTTATGTTCGTATTTCTTTAGTATACGTACGCGGGAGAGACATGAAACGTGTCGGTGAGAGAGAGAGGCAGACAATACGTTTTTCCTGAAAATTCGTCGGGTCACGGAAAATTACGGCGTGAAGCCGTTTCTGATGTATTCGTCTGGCGAGAATATCGGGTACCTATCTTCCTGCACGCCTTCACCCCCCCCCCCCCCCACCCTGGAACTAGGTGGACGCACAGATATTGCAGAATAGGTACGCAGTCGATTATAATATCATTACAATAATATTATGATAGTCGACTTAGGTTTTTAGCCGGCCGAGTTCGACCGGAAACCGCCAGCAGGAACCATATTTTATGCTCCGCAAGTTATCATTTAGGATCTATACGAGTAGTAAACGGTAATATTAATTATTATTATTGTGATGATGATAATAAGAAGGACGACGACGAAACACCGCGGGGTCTCGCGGGTCAGTATTATTAATTATAATACAATAATATCTTGTAATAATTGTATCGTAATCGTATAGTAATATATTGAAGCCCCGAATTACCTAAGTACGATATCGCCATGGTTGCTGTATACTATGATAAGACAATGTCGTTCTATCTCTTCTATCTGATATATTTTGTAATATTATGATAAAAATTGTGTATCACATTATATTAACCCGATAAAAAATCATTATTCGAGCCGTACAGAGTCGGTGACGGTGCAAAGGTCTGTTTCGGTTTATCGACTTTTAAACACAGCAAATAACATAATACATTGTATCGTAATAATATTATTGCAGTGATCGACGAGCTAGGAATAGGGGAGGTTCTAGGACTCAAATGTCGTAAGGTCATCATTAATAAAATATCATGTTTATTAGCCACAACCTATAAACTCTCTAATCCCAAAATGTTGTTCTCCCTACAGTTAAATTATGATTACAAAAAAATTAATATTTTCTTTATTTTCTTAACAAAAATGGAATGTACCTACTTCATATTCAGTGCTTTCATATTCAGTGCGTTCATATTCAGTTAATGAATATATTATTATTCAATAATTTTACAATATTATCTTAATATAAAACTAAGAATTAAACTATTCGTTTACAATTTAACTGAAATAGAAAACAAATTAGGTACCTAGGTACTAATGTAATATTGTTATTTTTGACAACATTATAAAGTATAACTGATAAGTTTAAAAAACGAAATTTTTTTAACAAGTTGTAAGAACTAGTGAACAGTTGAAATTTCGACATTATGATTCTTTACTTATCAAAACGACACAATATTGGACTTTTTAACAGGTGAACGTCAAACAATTTTATATGGACGGCTACCCCCCCCCCTCCCCTGTGCGTACACTATAACCTCCACTATGGCTAGGAAGACTCCTGCGAGTTTTACGACGACCAATATTCTCCGGACATTCTGGTGATATTATAATAATAATAATAATTATTATTATTATTATTATTATTATTATTATTATTATTATTATGAAGTGAAATATTATCAGAATACTTTGCATTTTGGTATTCATCATCGTTTTTTTGGGACGATGTTTTGAAATCGACAGCCAAGCAATACAGACCCCTACGAGCGAAAAATGTCATAATATTTTGATTGACATTCGTTTGAAGGTGGACATATCATGTTATAATAATATCGTATCTTGTTTATTATAAGCGCGAGGCGTTATAAAGCTGCATCGATGTGTATCAGCGAAAAATAATGATATGTTATACGACATTAAGCTTTAATATGTAAACATTATATTATATTATCTATTTATCCATGATTTTAGAATATTGAAAATATCGATTATTCTTCATTGTACCTAATAATAATAATAACAATGAACCCCGCCGGGCACGCTTGATCACGCATATTTCTTACGATTTAAAAGCACGCCGTTTGTCTTTTATCGACTACAGTCTGTTATATTGTTAATATTGTATTGTGTCACGAACATCGAGTGGCTGCAGGGGATTTTCTAAGACACACACTCATCGAATTCATGCGAAATGCTCAAAATACTTAAGCTCATGCCTGCTACGACAATTTATGTAGGTCATAATTATAATAACACAGTGTTTTTCGCTTGCTGTCAATTATTCTGTCGATCCTAAACCTATAATATGACCGTGAAATGGTGCACATCCGTAACAACCGCGGTTATGGTAATATTATGAAAATACGAATAAACCTAAAAATATTAGGCTGTGCAGTCCCGTCGTAGTCATGACGTAATTATTTATTCACGTCGAGCACGTGAGATGTAACGTGTCCGTCGAAAAGATTTCGAGTGCAACGATAGTCACGACCGATGCAATAATAGTTTTGTAGCGGATCACATATGTGTGAAACCGTTAGGTACATGATATACTATTAAGTATAAATAATAATCAAATATAGATAGTATAAATAATAATAAGGAAGTAGGCTTGTATACACAGTATAGTTATCCGGGTACAGTTTTACACATATATACACACAGTAAAAATAAATTGTCTGTTCGCTAGATTGTTTTTAGATTCTGAGTGGAACGATGAATGTATTGATTTTACAATAATGTGTGTTTTTTTTTTTATTTTTTTTTTTATTTTTGTGTCTGTGTACACGATTAGTAGTCGAAACAATGCTCCAATTTTCAACTTCAGTAACTTGTTCGATGGGAAAGTGAATCTAGTTGGTACTTTTAGGAGGTCAAAATTTAAAATTCCCAATAGTTCTCACAAGCGACAAGATTAACAAAAGAAAAATTAAGGAAAAACGGGAATTTTTACGCAAAATCGATTTTTCACAAAATTTAATTTGGTTTTTGGTGTAACTTTAAAACAAATGACCGTAGATACACGAAATTTTCACTAGTTGTTTATATTTGCATTTTCTATACACGATAAC